AAAAAAAAAAAAAAGACCCTCTTACAATTGTGTCCCGCCTCCAAGAGGTGCATCACAGCTGACATATTTTTTTTTTTTTTTTGGAGACAGAGCCTCAAGCTGTCCCCCTGGGTAGAGTGCTGTGGCATCGCAGCTCACAGCAACCTCCAACTCCTGGGCTCAAGCAAGTCTACTGCCTCAGCCTCCCAAGTTGCTGGGACCATAGACGTCCACCACAATGCCCAGCTGTTTTTTGGTTGCAGCCGTCATTGTTGTTTGTCAGGCCCGGGCTGGATTTGAACCGGCCACCTTAGGTGTATGTGGCTAGTGCCTTAGCCACTTGAGCCACAGGCTCTGAGCCACAGCTGATATTTTTAAAAAACATAATTTTTATGATTTCCAGTGAAATAGAGAGTGTAGGTAGAGGTATTTATAAGCATAAGCCAACTTAACTCTGGAAGAATAGCTCAAGGTAGCAATAGCCTGGATTACAGAGGTCAGCATACACTGTTGACTGAAATCAGTCCTCATTTCTGTTGGTTGATGTGTCACACCAATGACTTTACATGATTATTCCAAGTGAAGTCTCCGGCTGACAAAACCACAAATTTTGGTAAACTGCATACTAAGCTATTAATTTAGGAAAGGAAAAACAAGAAATTATGTGCGAGTCTAGCAACCCAAGGTCACCCCAAAGATGTCACTGATCAGGTTCACATTCTCTAGTGTTTTCATTCATTTGAAGTAACCCCTTTCTGTCAAATGGACAGATCAGTGTAGATAGGTCAGTGCAGGTGGGGAGGTGATCATAGCAGAAAGGAACTAGGAAAGAATAGATACTCTCAAAAGGATATAACTTTTCCGTGACCATTTCCATCTTTTCCTGTCTGTTGTGGGCTAAGAAACCAGATTGATCCAGACTAATTTACTAGACTGGTTTTATGAAATTCATATAGAATGAGGCAGGTATAGGTGCCCATAGCACAGTAGTTATGGCATCAGCCACAAACACCAAGGCTGGTGGATTCGAACCTGGCCTGGGCCAGCTAAACAACAATGGAAACTGCAACAAAAAAATAGCCAGGCATTGTGGTGGGTACTTGTAGTCCCAGCTACTTGGGAGGCTAAGGCAAAAGAATAGATTAAGCCCAAGAGTTTGAGGTTGCTGTGAGCTGTGACACAACAGCACTCTACTGAGGACAGCCTAGTAAGACTCTGTCTCAAAAAAAAAAAAAAGAATGAGGCTGGTATAAATAGACAGAAAAACATCTGCATTAAAGAAATACTATTTGGCTTAATCTTGAAATATTAGATTTCATTTTTGACTTTTACATTAATCAAATATTCTTTTAAAAACAAATCCAGGCTCGGAGCCTGTAGCATAGTGGTTATGGCGCTAGCAACCTACACGGAGGCTGATGGGTTTAAACCAAGCCAGCTAAACAGTGACAACTGCAACAAAAAAAGCCGGGCATTGTGGCGGGTGCCTGTAGTCCCAGCTACTTGGGAGGCTGAGGCAAGAGAATCACTTAAACCCAAGAGTTTGAGGTTGCTATGAGCTGTGACGGCACAACACTCTACCAAGGGTGACATAGTGAGACTCTATCTCAAAAACAAAACAAAACAAAAATCCAATAAGGTAGTCAGAGCTAAATCGTGAAAATATCAAATTAACCTCAGAATAGAAAAATTTCATCTACTACCCAGAAGCCATCAGAGGACACTGGTGTTTCTCTTCACCTTCCATAACAGACTACTACCTTCCAGACTTAGGAAGACTGTCTCACCCATAGGGAAAGATAAGTAAAGCCAGAAGACAAGACTGAGCAGGAAGCACCCTACACAAAGGTGCCCAACTAAGAGGGCATGAGTCTGGACTGAAATTCATTCTTCAGCTGCCCTGGTAAGGGTAAGGTTGCAACAGTCCAGAGAAAGAAAAGCATTTTTCTCATTGTTCCACTGGAGTGGATACTTCCGAGCAATTTGTCTGCCCCCAGGTGGTACATGTTTCTATTTAGCACAAAGGCATTGGTACATGCTATGGTGGCCTTGAAAATCAACACTGGGTTCTTGGAGGCACTGGGTGTCCTATTAAGGATGGGACCACAAATACTCTTTGTCTGGCCTTGAGCCTTGAAGCCAAACCAACATTGACCTAAACTGTCTTTCCTTTCAGTTGAAACAGATTATGAAGACAGTGGTTTAGATATAAATTCAAAAGAAGAATAAACTGCATTTTCTGAGGACCCACTATTAGCCACCAGTCGGCTGAAGGCTTATCTTACTAGTAAAGTCAGAAGTGTGAATTCTTACTTGGCCATTTACTTGATGAGTAACTTGAGGTGAGTGTTTAACTTCTCTGGGCTTCAGTGAGGAGTCACTAAGATAATAGATAAAAAGAACTGGGCACAGGGCCGCCTTGCACATTGGTGGCATTTTCTAAGCCTTTTTTCTGCTACTACCCTGACTCCAAAGTTAATTCACACTATTCAGACCTTTGGCCTTGAAACCTCACTCAGTAGGGTCTACTAGACAGAATGCTGGATGTGGGTCAGATACGGATCCCAGTACCAGACATTTCCCTTGTTATAGCACCTTGGATAAGTTACTCTCCTCTCCTGACTCTGTCAATAAAATTGAACACCCCTACCTCTGATGCTGAAAGGGAAGAGAAGAGAAAATCACTTTTTTTTTTTTTTGAGACATAGTCTCAAGCTGTGGGTAGGGTGCTGTGGCATCACAGCTCACAGCAACTTCAAACTCTTGGGCTTAAGCAATTCTCTCACCTCAGCCTCCCAAGTAGCTGGGACTACAAGCACCCACAACAATGCCCACCTAAGAAAATCACTTTTCTTGGGCACCTGCCATGAGACATGTTCTGTCCAAAAGAAATTTCTCAGATGACAGAACTGTTCTGTACCTGTGCTAATATGATAGCCACTAATCATAAGTAGCTACTGTGCCCTTGAAATGGGCCAGTACAATGAAGGAACTGAATTTTCAATTTTATTTAATTTAAATTTAAATAGTCACATGCAATTAGTGGCTACCATATTGGACAGTGGCACTCTAAGATTATGAAGCAGAAATATTTGTGCAATTAATATATGGTGGCACCAAGGCTTAGAAAAATTGAAAAACTTGCTAAAAATCACTTAATGAGACACAGTACCTAAGCCAGATTCAAAGCTGAGGAGAGAAAGCTTAGTAGGATAATAGAATCAGATATACCAAAAATTACCCAGGCTCCAATACTTAAAATCTATATGACCAAAGAAAAATAATTACATACTCTAAACTCACTTTAATCATGTAAAAAATGATAATCATCACCTAATTTCAACATATAACTTGTAAGTAGTGATGCCTGGATAATTCCTGGTATATATCTGACCCTATTATCCTCAGCTTTCTCTCCTTGGCTTTGAATCTGGTTTAGTTACTGACTCATTAAATGACTTTTAAAAAGTTTTATGTTGTGGCTCAGCATCCGTAGCTCAGTGAGTAGGGCACCAGCCATATACACTGAGGCTGGTAGGTTGGAGCCCAGCCTGAGCCTGCTAAACAACAATGACACAACTGCAACCAAAAAATAGCCAGGCATTATGGTCGGCACCTGTAGTCCCAGCTATTCAGAAGGCTGAGGCAAGAGAAGAACTTAAGCCCAAGAGTTTGAGGTTGCTCTGAGCTGTGACGCCACAGCACACTACCGAGGGCAGCATAGTAAGACTCTGTCTCAAAAAAAAAAATGTTGAGATTAATGGGTATAGTATGTGGCCCATAATAGGTTTTCAACAACTTTGTTTCCTCACCATCCTGATTCCTCCATCAGACATAAACTAAAGAAAAGAAAAAAAAGATAACTGCAGAGTAGAGAGAACATCTGGGAAATAATATCCTATTACAGAATGGAGATGATAAAGGTTATGAATGTTAAAATATTTCCATCTCCTTGGTTTACTTTCCTGTCTTCTTCTTTTTTATTTTTTTGAAGACAGAGTCTCAATTTGTTGCACTTGTTAGAGTGCTGTAGCATCACAGCTCACAGTAACCTCAAATTCTTGGGCTGAAGCGATTCTCTTGCCTCAGCCTCCCAAGTAGCTGGAACTATAGGCACCCACCACAATGCCCAGCTATTTTTAGAGATGAAGTCTTCCTCTGGCTCAGATTGGTTTCAAACCTGTGAGCACAGACAATCCACCCGCCTCAGCCTCCCAGAGTGTTAGGATTACAGGCATTAGCCAATGCGCCAGCCCTTCCTGTCCTCTTGACATTTCAGTCAACATTCAACAAAGCAGGGAACAAGATATCTATAATGTATTTTGAGGCCCAGAACAACATGCTAATATGGTAGAACAGAGTACTTACTGTTACAGACTTGGACTCAGGGCTGGTAATATTCAAATTCTGGTTCCCATATTCGTTGCGTGCACTGGAAAAGTAATTTGACACCTTTATACATCAGTTTTTAATCTGTAAAACGGGATTAATAATATTCAGGGTGTCTGAAAACAGCATAGTATTATGTTGCTTTGCATTCTGTAGTACCCTCTAGTGGTGTGTACAAAAATAAGCATTGAATTTTTGCTCTCCAAAGCAGTGTTTCTCAAACTTCAGTGTGCACTGAGATCAAGGGAACAGTTGGTAATAGCACAGATTGCCAAACTCCACCACAAGAATTTCCGATTCAAAAGATTTGGGGTGAAACCTGCCATGTGCATATGTGCGTGTGTGTGTGTGTGTGTCTGTGTGTGTATACAAGTACACATGATTGATAATGAAGTATAATTTTTGTCATTTGATTTTGATTTGGTAGTGTCCATCTAATAAGGATTTTGTGAAGAATAAAAGAGTATCTATGTGAAGGATATAACACAGCATCTAAAATACAGAAAATACATAAAATATTGAGGATCAGAGAACATAAATTGTTTGCTCAGGATCACAGGAATAGGAAGTGGTGAAGTAAGGTTTACAATTAGGTCTCTGACTCCAAAGATACAATGAAGTTTAGCAGTACTACAGAAAATAGGGTGCAAACACACATATTGATAAAAACTTGAAGAGCAAAGAAAGGTCAGTTTTCAAGAGAGTCCAAGTTTTACCTGTGAGTTCTGACCTACCTTTACTAATTGGGAAAACAGCTATCCGTATTTTCCATTTGAGGAAGTGGTGAGCATTTGAAAAGAAGGTAAGCAAAAAGGGTTAGCATCTCCATCGGCATCAGTGCCTGAGATCAATTCATTAACTCTAAAGAAAAAAGGCAAAGACAAAGGAAGAGAAGGATGGAGAAAGGAAATTTTTTCAGTAAGGTAAGTTGTAAAGAAATGAGCAAAAATATACTGGGTCGCAGTTCCCTGTCTAATTTGTCCCTTTACAGAAGTTGATTGTACTTTTCCGTAGGAGTGAAACATATACATGACCTCTATAGCTTGGAGAGTTCAGCAAATCAGAATGGGGGGAAGGAGAACAAAAATCGCATGATCCCAGGGTCCATCAGCCAATCCTTTGCCGGGATTTGGCGGCATCTGGTGGCCGATTCCAGAGGTATAAACCTCACCCAGAGAACCTTCTGGAAAGCTAACAGAGTGCGTATTTGCCTGCAGAAGGGCACTGTGTGTGGAGATTGAGACAAAAAGGTAAGAGAGCCTCAGCCTCCACAGAAATTGGGAGTCCCTAGCAGAGAGTAAGGCTGTCATATGTAGATCTACTCACCAGAAAATGTATTTGTGCCAGGAAATTTCTACGCAACTCGGGGAGGGAGAGGGAGGATACTAAGGAAGTTGAAAGAAGCCTCCCCTTGGAGCTGCTAATGTGGGAATGGGAGGGTTTGGCTCTTAACCATTGGAAGGCTGGAAATTAGAACAGATTAGGGCACAGAGAAAAACATAGAAAGTGTATTTTTAGGGCCTAAAATTAAATCGGGGAAGATCAACATATTTTTAACAGTGCCCCTTTATTGATGTTAATGGTCGCCTTAATTATTTTCCTCCTCATTAGAACGGTTTTAAGCATGGTAACAGAAGTAGAAAACCTATATAGAGCAACCCACCCTACCCAACCCCTACCCAACCCCCACCCCACCCCCATCCCGCGTGCGCGCGCAGCGCGTGCCATCCGCGCGGAACGTCTCTCACCATTCTCAACGCCAGGGGCGCACGCCTGCGCACACCCACCACCTCAGGCGCCACGAGGGCTGGTGCGCAAGCATGCCCCAAACCCGGGACCCCGCGAGCTAGTTCGCGTACTTGCACCCGGGTCTTAATTCCTTGAGCCCGTGAAATTCACCACCCCCGCTCACACACGCCCATCAAAATTCCCACTGCGCCTTTTTTTCCTCCTGCTCCAAGAATTGCGCAACAGGCCCGGGGGCGTGGCCCTAGCTTTGACCTCGCGCTTCCCCACTCGCTGGAACCTGAGCTCATTTCCGCCTATCCTATTTCCGCAGGCCACGTAGACACTTCCTTTCCCAGTGGGGGCGGGGGGGGGGCGGCGAGGGGGGTAGACGCAAACCCATAATTCCTCCCTGTGCGGGGGTGGGTAGGGAGAGAGAGAGAGAGAGAGAGAGAGAGAGGAAAAACTCTGGTCAGGGGAACTCTGGGTCGTGAAAATAGGCCACGTGAACATTCTGCCCTATAGACTTATGACCCAACTACTGTCGCGTTTTTGGAGGGCGGGCTAAGGACCTAAGAGAGCAAACGTCATTGGCTGAAATCCGCAGTAGAGGCGAAAGATGATTGGTTTGTTTTAGGCCTTAACCGTGAAGACGCCGGTTGCTAGCACCCGCCTTTACTGCGGCGAAGTGTCATTGCTGACGTGAGGGCGGTCGTCCAATCATTTGGGTATGGAACATTCTAAAACTTAGACAAGACGATTGTGATTGGCTGAAGGGCATACACCCGCCTCCAGGGTGACGTGTCTGCCTATGGATATCAGTTGCCAGAGAAACCTGGCTTTACTATGGCGGTTGGAGGAACGGCGGTGATCACACGTCGTCTGCTGGGAAGAACTGGATTCTCGTTTCAGGTTTCGGGGTGGGGGTGGGGAGAAAGGGTCGATGATTTCCTCTTTTCGTCGTGTATAGATAGGATTAGCTAGTGGCTTCACAATAAGGTAGAGCTGGATTCAAATTCCTGCTCGCCAACGCCCTGCTCGGGCAAGGCTCCTGTTCTTTCTGTGTCTCGGTTTCCATGTTTGTAAAATGGTGATAATAATAGTATCTACCTCAGAGACGTGTACTGTATAATAGTGCGTATAAGGCACGTAATAGGAAGCCTGGCTTCTGAAGATACAGCTATTGTTATGGAAATAACTATCCGCATAACAGAATAAGAAAAAATTAAAATTACGTAAATTTGGTCATTATAGTGCCTTTTCTGTCCATCAACATCTTCCTTAGGAAAAAAAGGAATATAAAGGCGATATATCGATCTTTACCGATGAAATAATTTGCTGTCTGGGAATTGCCTCAAAATAGCAGAGATTGGAATTTTCCCATATTGGAAAGTTAAAATGGGGGGGGGGGCTAGAGATGGAGAAGGAGAGCGAGCTGTAGATAAACCTCATGCGATAAAAGTAGGCCTTGTCTGGATCCTGAATCGAACACCCAACTGTAAAAATCTGATTAAAATGCATCGGGAAAATTTGAACACGGATTCGATATTTCGTACCTTTTTAAGGAATTGATATTAATTTTTTAGGCGTATAGTGGTATTGTGGTTTTGTTTTTCAGTTGTCTTTTTTTATAGAGACATACGAAAATATTTACGGATTAAATAGTATGTCTGGGATTGGCTTCAAAATACGTTGATGACTAGGATTTGCTTCAAAATCTTAGCGGTAGGGGGAAATGGGGAGGGGTATAGATGAAACAAAATTGACCTAAGTTAATAATCGTTTAATCTAAATGATAGGCCTTTGAGGTTCCTTATATTAATATGTTTTTCTTGGTATATGTTTGAAATTTTCTGTAATAAAATACAGAAGTCAGCTACTCCATGAGCTGAAAGGGGGGGGGGGAGCAGTGGGTGGGGTTATAGATGAAACAAGATGGCCTTCAGTTGGTAATTGTTGAAGCTGCATGATGGATTCCTGTTGGTTTGTAATACTATTTCGTTCATATTTTTATCCATTTGAAATTTTTCTCAATAAAAAGGTTTTTTAACCCACAGATCCATTCATCAGAAATTATATGAATATATAATAAATTTGAAAATAGAGCAACAAGAAAGGAAAAAGAAGCACACATATATTATTTATCATCTTTGGGTCCTTTATGTGTAATAAGATTGCACTGGCTGCTGGAGAAGAAAACCATCGTCTCATATCTTTTTATTTTATATCCTTTCCTGTCCTTTTGTATGACCTTCTAGGTCACCGTCAGAAAAGCTAAGTTTGCTCTACAGTAGGGATCAGGAGATCTGATCCTGATTGCAGAACCATCCCTGATTACAGAATCTTGGGTAAGTGCTTCCCTTCTCCTGGCCTCAGTTCTCAAACAGGTTAACACCACATAACCTTCCTTAACTACCCAGGGATATTTTGAAGATTATTCAGTGCTCTAATTCTGGGAAAGGAAGGTTAGAGCTAAATTCATTGGTGTTTTCAATATGGAAAGTGCATTGGCAGCAGAAGACTGTGTAATCTTACATCCCTTGAAGAATGAAACTGCAATTGATATCCTGTGGTCGTTCCACAGATCCATATATTATATTATTTTGTTTGGAGCATCCTATGTGCTGCATAGTGACTTAGAGCAAATACTGACTTCTTAAATTTAAGTACTGGCTATGCCACTTAACTGTGTGATCATAGGCAATATTGTTACTCATTTTATATCTAATTTTCCTCATACATAAAAGATGAGATAAGAATAGTTCCTGCTTCATAGGATTGTTGAGGGAATTATATGTAAAGTACCAGGATGGTGCCTAACACATACAAATGCTTGCTTTAATAATAATTATGGCTCTTAATACATCCTGTTTTACACACATATTTACACATGCTTTTAAAAGCAATGGGATAATCCCTTTTTGGAATTGTAAGAAAAAAAAAATTAATACTGTTGGTTTCTCTCATTTTCCAGCAGCAGCAGTTATCACTAGGACTGAATTTTGAAATTATGACTTCTGGCTTGTCCTAGCAATATAGAAAGGTTTTAAGTATATTGATCCTGTTTGTTTATGAGGAAATTTCCAGGAACTATAATTTTAGCTAACAGATCAAACTACCTTCAGTCTGTTAACACTTTTATTATATCGTTCCTCCTTTGTCTCAGACTTTTTTAAAAAACCTGTATGTAAAGGAAATGTTTCAAGATCCAGAAGAGAAAATTTATATTGATGTAATTTAACATGGTGCATTTAAGGTTTAATGCATTAAATATGTGCGTTTAAAGGTTAATTCCAGCAAACTGTATGAGATGTTATTCACACTTATTTGTGACAGACATGTACACAAAAGGTGGTAGTATTTAGATTCCCAAATGGCCCACTGCTTGCATGCGTAGATAAATGAAGGTTTTACATTCTTTATGACAGCTATGTTTTCTCATGTAGTCATTATATTTTCCTTCCTGTTTTTCTTCCGTCTGAAAGCTAGGTTCCAGAGGAGGGCACTGCCCTGGTGGAAGAGATGCATTAGATGGGTAGATACACAGTCCCTTTACATGAAGCCATTTAGAGAATGATTACCAGCTAAAGATCGGGAGGTAGGCTATTGGACCAATAGGAGCTCAGAGAAAAAGGGCCAGTGTGGCCTGAAACAGAAAGCTTCGAGAAGGAAAAGGACCTTGACCTGTGTCTCTGAGGATGGGCAGAAATTAGAGGAAGGGAGGGAAGAAACCCAGTCTAAATAGTATGCCTACAGTGTGTACAGTATACAATGATGATTAATTGAAAATTCGAGCTGTGTGTGGGATCCATGAATAAGAATAGATCAGAAAGTCAGCGTGAATTTTAACTACATGTATTTTATTACAAATTTTAATCACATAATTGGTATGTGAATATAATCTCTGTAGAAAATGTAAGAGTAGGGCAGCGCCTGTGGCTCAAAGGAGTAGAGCGCCGGCCCCATATGCCAAAGGTGGCAGGTTCAAACCCAGCCCTGGCTAAAAACTGCAAAAAAAAAAAAAAAAAAAGAGCTCAGTTTCTTTTCCTTACCATCTCCATTTCTTTCACTCTCTAACTTAGAGTTAACCACTTTTACCAGATTGCTCTATTTCCTTCTAAATCACTAGATTAATGTACCTGTCTAAAAAATGTATATGGATATATATAAAATATTGTTTTGTGTTTTTATTTATGTAAGTACAGTGTCACACTATAGGAATTGTTTTGCAACTGGCTTATTTTTATTCAAGAAGTGATTTTAGATGTTTTTGTAGCCATTCATAGAATTCTAATTGCTTACACAGTGGCTTCCTTTAACTAGCATAATAGTCCACATCATGAAAATATTTTATTTTGTCAGATCACTACTAAAGCCTTTTAGGTTGACTCCAATGTTTTATTACTTCAAATAATACTCCCATCAGGCAGCATTGGTGGCCATTCACAACGGTTATTCTAGGGCATTGTTTTTCAACCTTATATTATCTCACAGTACACTTGCACATCATAATTAAATTATGTTGATGTAAAAAAAGAGTATACAAATATATTTACTATTATTTGTTCTTTGAAAAATAATGTAATGATCTCCAAACATTTTGGTGGCATACTAGTTGAAAATAATTTTTCTAGGGTAACATGTATTCCTTTCAAATATGATAATTAAGTCAATGTAATGCTGGTGAGAACAATCAGACATGACTTGTGACACTGTGACAGACAGATGGCCTAGAGACAGTGATACGTTTAAAAATTACCTAATAAAAGATCTATATCCTTCTGGGAATCTGTAATGATATAAAATAGCATTTCAAATCAGTGGTGGAAGGATGGCCTCTTCAATAATGAATATTAGGAAAAGGGTTAGTGTATATTTTGGGAAAACTGTAAAGATACCAAGAAATAATATAGAAAGACAATTTTTATATTATTGGTTTGGGAGCATTTTCCCGAAGTATGACATAAAGGGGGAAATTGACAGATCTATTTGTGATACTGGAATATATAGAAACACTTAAATGGGAGAAAAAGATAAAAAGATTTCCAACTTGGAAAAAACTACTTAAAAACAGTAAGAAGCCTTGAACAACCTAGTAGAAGAGGGAACAAATATTCATATAAGAAAAGATAGATGGGCTCGGCGCCTATAGCTCAACCGGCTAAGGCGCCAGCCACGTACACCTAAGGTGGCGGGTTCAAGTCCCCAGCCCGGACCCGCCAAAAAACAACAATGACGGCTGCAACCAAAAAATAGCCGGGCGTTGTGGCGGGCGCCTGTGGTCCCAGCTACTTGGGAGGCGGAGGCAGGAGACTCGCTTGAGCCCAGGAGATGGAGGTTGCTGTGAGCTGTAATGCCACGGCACTCTGCCCAGGGGGACAGCTTGAGGCTCTGTCTCAAAAAAAAAAAAAAGAAAAAAAAAGAAAAGATAGATGACCATTGAAATTATGAAAAATGCTCAGTATCATACAAATTCAAATGAAAATCTCATTACATGTTATATTGGGCCCCTAAGAAACTTTTCTTTCTTTTTTTTTTTTTTCTCAAAAAAAGAAATGTTTACCCAATGGTTTTGAAGGTGTAAAAGAATGAACTTTCACTTTTTTGATGGGAGTACAAGTTCAAATAGGTATTTCTGATGTGGATTTGGCTCTATCTCATCAAAGTTGTAATAAGAAACTCCTTTCACTGAATAGTTCCTTTTGGAATTTATCCTTCATAGATACTTACCTAATGGTCTAATCTAACATATCTATACAGTGATGTGTATTACAGCATTAATGTAATAATGGAATGTTAGAAACAACTTCATTAACATGAGAAAGGTTAAATTATGGTATTTAACAGGTTCTAGAATGGTATAGATATTTAAAAAGAGGTGAGTATGTACTGACATTAAAAGATGTACTCATTATAAGTAAGAAAAGCAAGGTACAGAGCAATTTGTCTCACTTTTGTCAAATTAAGTAAAGGCATGTTATATATTCACATACATACATAACATGTTGAGTTTTAAAATGTTTTTATTTGTGTGAATATGTACTGCAAGAGATTTGAAGGCATGCATATCCTTCAGAGGATACTCCTGGCATGGGGGGGTGGTAAGGGAAGAATGCCCACATCTTTATATAGATTGGTTTTTATAGGCATACAAAGGAAATGATACCACAAAATTTAATTACTTGGGAAAGAATATGGATTATCAGTTCATAACTTAACAAATTCTAGATGGATTAAGGAATTAAAATATGAAATTCATAAAATGTCTTAATTTTCAAGCATAAAATGGAAGGAAAAGCTTATACAGCTAATCACATAAAATGTTTAAAATCTTAACACTGAAATAACATCCTGGGGGAAATATTTGGCAAAAAAAAATGAAATCATTAAGAACCAATTATAAATAAATGGGCAAAGTACAAGAGCAGAGCTGAAATATAAATGGAAAGTTAACACATTTTTGAAAAAAATTTTTGGAGACAGTCTTAAACTATTGCCCAGTCTAGAGTGCCATGGTGTCAGCCTAGCTCACAGCAACTTCACACTCCTGGGTTGAAGTGATCCTCCTGTCTTATCCTCCCTAGTAGCTGGAATTACAGGCACCATCTATAACACCTGGCTAATTTTTTTTTTATTTTATAGGGAAGAGGGTTCCCACTCTTGTTCAAACTGGTCTTGAACTCAAGGGATCCTCCTGCCTCAGCCTCCCAGAATGCTACAGTTAACAGTCATTAGCCACAGTGCCCAACCTCATTTTGAAACATTAAAAACATTTCTGGTAAAGAAATACAAACCACACCTAAAACATGTCTTTCTTACCAAATTTGCAAATAAAATGTATCCCAGTGCTGACCAGAGCATGAGGCATGATAAACATTTTTACATGCTGCCTGAGATTAGAAATAATTGGTACAACATGTGGGGACTAATTTGACATGTTAAGAACCTTAAAAGTGAACTACTTGACGTACTAAATCTGCTTCTGAGAGTCTTAACAGTAATAGGAAATGAGAGCCAAAAACGTCTTAATTGGTTATTAAAGAATAAAGTGGGAGGAACATACCAGATATTTCCAGAGAGTAGTTAAGTAAGCTAAGGTATGCCCATATGATATACTATCAGTTAACTCAAAATGGCTGTATAATATGGTTGTGATAATTTTAGTTTTTTGGTTTTTGTTTTTGAGACAGGCTCATTTTGTCACCCCTGCCCTTAGAGTACCATGAGCATGGCATCATAGCTCACAGCAAACTCAGACTCCCAAGTAGATGCGATAACAGGCACCCATCATGACTTCCTGCTATTTTTAGAGGCAGAGTTTGGGGAGAGGTTCCCTGTAGCTCATGCT